GGGTGCCGTTTTTGCTTCAGCAAGAACAAATGTTAGAGGTACTCCCGTACGTGATGTGTGCACGTTCCAATCTAAAAACTCTCGCATAAGCGCCGTGGCTTTTTTGCATCGACTGCCCCTCTGCTTCACGGGCGAGAAATACCCACCTCTACGCATTTCCTTCAACTGTTCAAGGTATTTTACCCTACACTCTACTCCTAACCCCATCACAGCTACAGGACAATAGGCGCGTTCCGGCCGGGATTAACCCTCTGACATGGGTTCTCAGGCGAGGACGGAACGCGCCCGGCAGACGACGAGAACGTTTTTTGTCACACCGCATGGAATTGAGACAGAAGGTCCCCACACCAACATCAGTTGAGGGTGTACATCACCATGTACTCCAAGAATACACTGTAGGAGGGCCTGCGATTGAAGCCCACCTGACACCGCAGGCTTCGGGTTTAACCTAGTTTGAACGTGGCGGTATCGAGTGTATCATAACGAATCTGGCGCGCATGGGAGCAGCCGGATTTAAGCCACATTGATCGGCACCATCACAAACCCCTACCTCCCTTGTCACTGCGTGCGTGTGTGTGCCGACAACATAGCCTGAGGACATGAGGATGCTCCGTGCAATTCTAGGAAGGAAGAGCAGCTGGGGGAGTCTTTCCGCGAGCTGGTCTTGCGGGATCATCTGCGGGATAGTGCCCCTCTTGGAGGCGGAAGGATGTGCCGATGTGGACGCGGCCCTGGAACATATTTTTCCCGATGAGGATCGACGCCCGACCATCCTCTTTTACGACAAGGCCTGCGTTCTGGACCGCTACCTGAGCGGCGAGGAGATCTGTCCTGGGTTGGAACGATGCTGATCGTCGACCGGTACGTGACACGTGGGCCTGTGTTTCCAAAGCACCCGGGGCAATTCAACGAGAGACTACGTACACCTCGGCCTAAAGTAGGGCGTGCTCCCTGTAAGTAAGTTACTCACAGCAGCAGGTTGGGCGTTCTAAGTTGTAGTTTGCGGGGCGTTGGGGGTGACGTGTACAGTGTGTCCAAACTCCAACTCGGAATGAAGTACCACATACCCCTGCCGTACCCAATACCCATGTTGTGCGCATATCGTTACTGTGGACGCCGGCAGGTTCCATTGTCGGGGCCATACGCAGCTTGCGTACTCTATCCTCAACAACCCAAACGACTACAACAACCCTCTTCTGTGGAACTTGCAGCAAGACCCACCCGAGTTCTACGGGAATTCCTCCATCGCCGAGTCCAACAACGGGTGGCGAAGCGGTGCGTCAGATACACCCTGCGTCGAACCAATAGCAGTTTCTGGTTAACACCGTCATTACAGCCCCCCGTTGATGTCTTTTACTCGCTGTCTCACTCGTAATCCGTGTTGTTTCATCCATTAAGGCTAAGTACCTCCAACTGCGTTAACTACCCTTACTTGTTCTGGAACGCATGCCTCTCTTGTTGACCAGGGTTTCGACATGTCCTCATGCGCATGCCAAAGGTGCGGAACCATTTCGTCTTGGACAACAACATCTGCTTCAAGAACGACCTCCTGCTCACCAACAAGCTGTTGTCCCAGCACCCGATCTTTGACCGTTAGTGAAGCACGTACAACACATACATCCGGAACGGCAGGTTGTAGGCGTCAGTAGGAACCGCAGCTCCGCCATCTTTTTCGTCCTCCTACGGTGTGTCGAGAGCGGGCCAACATTCCTACCGATCCGAGTTTCCTGGTGCTCTCTACCTAGCAGAGTGGAATTCCACCCGCACAGATGTCCTTGGGTGATGGGCTGAAGGATGCACTTGGTTATGGTTACACCATTCGCGTTGCCTAATGGGGCTGCTTTACGTACATTCGAGCCGTTTAGGTTGCTTCCTCTTATCGAGCTGCGCCATGTCACTTTGATCGGCGACGTTTCTTACTAGTGTGTTTACTAGAATGGGTTGACGTTGTTGTCGTTGTTTTGTTTGTCCCATTGCAAGGTTGACATTGTAAATTGCCAACGTTTCCCGGTATGGGTTTCCTTCCTGGCGGGAGTGTTGTCGGTTCTCGGGACGATATGTGCCGTGCGTATGTCAACATCGTGGTTCCGACTTCTTGTCAATATCTTGGTTCCGACGAAATCTTTTTGCCTTGTTGCGTCGTACACCGTGTAACGACGATATTTTACGATGCCCGATGCGGAGTTCGTGGTGAAGGTGTCGAGCGTGGATTTTCTATGGTGCTGTGTTTTGGCTTCATATATTTTTTCACAACATCGTTTTTTGTGGCGTCATACGTATGTTAGTATTTCCTTCGTGGTTCTTCAGGACCAAGCCAAATATGTAGTTCCGAAAATGGGGCATATACAGCAAGGGTTAAGGGATTCAAGTCGTGGCAGAAGCGACCCCGCCCCAAGAAGCGTAAGAGGGTTTCAAGCACGTGGACGCGAGATGGTCACGACATACCGGGTTTCAAATCGTCGCCGAAGCGAACCCGCAGGCCAAATGGCGTTCTGTTCCTTACTTTATCTCTCCCCGAGGTAGTACACACGCATTCGCGTGCGTGCCCGTTCAGGTGACAAAAGGGTTTCAAACCATATACCCGAAGCTTTCCCGCCCCGCGGCCCTCTTCATTGCGTCGTGGTTTTCCGTTTATTTCTTTGTCTCGGTGCAGATGTTTGATACATTCGCCCATAACCAAGTGGAATTACCCCGTGGGTACCCATGGGCACCATGGGCAATGCCGATGGGTACCCACGGGCAATACCCATGGGTACCCACGGGCAATACCCATGGGTACCGAGGGGAGTCACCCACACATATGCAGGGAGACGAGGA